TGTGTGTGTAGGCAGGGTTTGTCTCTTTAGTCAGAGCAGATGGGCTCTTTCTTGTTTGCTTTAAGCGGAGGGTGTGTGTGTGTGTGTGTGTGTGTGTGTGTGTGTTTGAGTGAAAAACAAGAATCCCTACTGAGTGTCATACATCTCAGGACTCTGTGTCTGTGTGTCTTGTCTTGTGTCTATAGGCTCCTGACCGTCTCCTCTTAGTTTGAAACTGTTGCCGATGTTTGGACTTCTGGTAAAAATAGTTTCAGGATACAGCTAATATATGTGTGACTCATTGTAATGATTTTCATCAACTTCCTAGCAAGCACATAGGATCACCTGGCCGTCATGACAGGGCAGACATCATTCATCTTATTCTAATTATTCATAAAGCAGAGCCTTTGTTATCCAAAGCAATGCATTGCCAGTTACAGCAGTTTATTAATCAGATTTGAACCTGCAACCTTTGGATTAGCCCACATCTTTAACCACTAAGCCACAGCACCTCATTTACACCCTGACAGAGGTTTTCCATCAGGACCAGCGAGACTTCAGGTCAAGCTTCACCCGAGGAAGGTATTTTAATCCTCTTTCTCTGTCTGATTCAGATGGCATGGGCACACACACACACACACACACACACACACACTCTCCGTCTGAGAGCAGCGCAGAAGTGCTTGAGCTGCAGCCAATCTTGATAAACTCAGCCGTTCAGAAATCATTGTGGGAAAGTGTTGTTTGCTTACCTGTCAGTTATTCTATTAGTCTGAAATCTGGTGTTGATATCAAGCACGCTGATTTCTATTAGAGCCGTGAAGTGACGCAATCACAGATAAGAGTGCAGTTTCTGATTGAGCCAGAAAGCTTTGGTATTTGCCCTTTAAATCAGAATGTCTCTTTAGTGTATATTTAATATTTCACTGATTTTAATTTGCTCTTTCATTTTCGTAGTCCTTAAATAGAGTGCTGCTTTTTGGCTGCATAACTTTGACAATGTGCCAAATTGAAATATACTTGACTTATTTGTTGAAAATGAACAGATGTGAAACCTGAGAGCTTTATGCAATCTTAATCCTTATAGGCCTAACTAATTACTTAATTATAGTAATTACTATTATATATATATATATATATACAAAAGAAATATTTTCTAAAATATGTTTTAAAATATATTTACATATTTTCTACCAATATATTTTTGGCCTTTTTATAAATTGGCCTTTTAAAATATATAAACGTTGGCCTATTTTAAAAAGCATTTAAAAATTGTTGTCTATATAACTTCTGTGAACATATAATACATTTGAATAAAAATCAGCAAGTATTTTACATTGCCCCAAAAATATTAAAATCTTTGTCAAGCATGTTTGAGCTACAAGAGCAGGCTATTGCACATATTTGGTGCACATTTGATGAGTG